CCCCCCCTCTCTCTCACCCCACCACATACCCCATTTAAATGTTCACATAGTCCCCGCATCCTGCGCGCAAAGCGAGGCGCACGCGCCGCCCCTGGAGCAGGCCCGGGCATGGGAAACAAGCCCCCCCGAAGAAGGCGTGTATCACAGCTACAGGGGCAGTGGCGGCCACCGGTCAGGAGCTGGGCACCAGGCCCATTGCGACCGACTGCGGGCCGTACGGCGGGCCGGGCTTGAGGGCGGAGGTGCGGCGCCGGACGGACCGGTGCCAGAAGAACAAAATCGTCAGCCCGGTCAGCAGCAGCACCAGCAAGCTGATGCCGACGCTGAGGCTGACCACTGCGGGCGGGCGTCCACAGGCCGCCAAGGGCCGGAGGGGGGCGGGCGTGCGCCGGGTCAGCGAGGCGGCGCCCGTGGCGAGCAGGGAAGCATGCCAGGCGGCGTGGCCCCGGGCCAGGGGGCCGGGGAGTGGGACAACGCACCGAAGGACAGCCGGCCACTGGGGTCCAGGCATTGGTCTTCCCCGGGGCCGGAGCAGTGTTGGCAGTCGGGGTGGCAGGGCCGGCAGGCCGGGTCGACGCCCGGGTCGGGGAAGAACCCCTCCGGGCAGGCGGCAACACAGGCCCCGTGCAGGAGGAGCCGCTCGCCGGCGCAGCGGGAGCAGGCCGCGGCGCACGGCTGGCCGGGCGCCGGGGCCAGGTCGAAGTCGAGGCAGCCGGCCGGCCGGGCGACGCAGAGCCGGGCCCCCGCGCAGGCGAGGGTGCCCTCCGGGCAGTCGTCGCCGCAGGCGTCCCCATGCAGGAAGTAGCCCTCATGGCAGGCGGTGCATGCGCCGATGCAGCCCTCCTCCAGCGAGTCGATGGCGGCCACGCACTCGGCGCACCGGCCCGGGCAGGGGCCACACCGGCCGGCCGCCCGGCAGGCCATCGACTCGGGGGTGGTGCACTGGGAGACGCAGAGGCCGCGGTCGGCCAGCAGGCCGCCGGGGCAGGCGCTGCACGCCTCCGGCCCCGGGCCGAAGCACTGCACGCACGCCGGGTCGCAAGCCATGCACACGCGGCCGACCCCGGGCACGTGGCCGGTGTACTCGTTGTCCTGGCAGGCCGCGACGCAGGCCCCGGCCGACATGGCCGAGTTCGCCGGGCAGCTGGTGCACTGGGCGGCCCCGGGCCCGGCGCACTGGAGGCATGTGTCGTGGCATGGCCGGCAGGGCCCGGGCCCGGCCGGGCCCGGGGCCAGGTACCGCCCCGGGCCGCAGGCGGTGCACTGGTCGGCGGCCGGGCCGCGGCACTGGTGGCAGCTTTCGTCGCAGGGCACGCATGTGCCGACGCCGGTGTGGCCGTCGTCGAAGTGCGCCCCGTCGCGGCAGGCGGTGCACGCCGACGCCCCGGGGCCCGCGCACTGCAGGCAGGAGATGTCGCACGCGTGGCAGGCCCCGGCCGCCGGGCCGGCGGCCGTGAAGTACATGCCCATCGAGCAGGCGGTGCACTGCCCCGGCGCCGGGCCGCCGCACCGCAGGCAGGACACATCGCACGGCCGACACCCGGCCGGGTCGGGGTAGCTGCCGGCCGGGCAGGCCGCCGGCCGGGCATCCGGCGCCCGGGCCGCGCGGGCCATGCTCCAGGGGGTGGCCCGGGGTTGCGCATCGCCGTGCGCCGGCCGGGGGGCGTCACACGGCCGGCACCAGGCGCCGCTGGATGTCCGGCTCGGGGGGCCGGCCTCGCCCAGGGGCACCTGCTGGACGTGAGGGTGCTGCCTCGGGGGCTGAGGGACCCCCTTGGGCGGGGCCGCGGCGGCGGGCCCGGGGAGGGAGCGCCCGGGCCCCCTGCCCTGGGGGAGCGGCTGGCCAGGCTCGGCCGGCACCGGGCGCCCGGTCGCGCCGTCTGCCGGCCCGGGCCCGGGCCCGGGCCCGACCCCCAGGGGCCCCCCAAGGCCAGGGGCCCGGTCCGTCTGGCGGAAGACATTCCGCCCCTCGGTCAGGTACCAGTGGATGGGGCCGTGCGGCGCGGGCGCCCAGGCATGCATGTGCAGCAGGCCGGGCCGGGCGGCCCGGGCGCCGGTCCAGCCCGGCAGCACCAGGCGCCCGGCGCGGGCCACGGCTGCCGCCCCCTCGGCCAGGTCCACGCGCCACACCTCCCGGGCCCCGGGGTCCAGGTACAGCAGGAAGCCCAGCGGCCGGTGCGGCAGGGCCGGCGCCGGGGGGTTGAGGAAGTGCCCAGCGGCCGGGGCCCCGGCCGGCAGGCGGAAGTCCAGGCGCCCGGCGGCGCAGCCGCCGGCAGGCGTCCAGCCGAGGCACACCCGCACGGCGCGGTCCTCCAGCAGCAGGACCAGGTCCTCGGCCAGGGGCTCCGCGGAGGCCAGCCGCGTGGGCAGGACTTGGCGGATGGCCCGGCGCCCGGGCGGCATGACCGCGGCGGCCCCGGTGGCCGCGTCCACGCGGACATGGCGCCCGGCATGGGCCACATGGAAGGCCGGGCCCTGTCCCACCGAGGCGCGCAGGCCCGGCTCGGACAGGCTGCCGGCCACCGGGGTCAGGACCGGCGCCTGCCCCGGGTCCCGGGGGAGCTGGATGTGCAGCAGCGGCCGGCCCGGGCCCCGGCATGCCAGGAGCAGCGTCCGGTCCTGGTGCACGGTCCCGGCCAGGATGGACACCACCTCCGGCAGGGCCGCCGCCTGCCGGGCGCCCGGCCACCGGAGCTGCAGCCGGCCCGCCGGGGCCACGGCCACCGCCCGGAGGCCGGGCCCCGGCTGCTCGAGGACCGCGGCGATCCGCGACCCCGGCAGGGCGCGGCCCATGGCGCGCAGGTCCCGGCACAGGGCGCCGAGGTGGCCCCAGCCGGCAGCCGCAAAGGCCACCGGCAGCCCGGCCAGCAGGTCGTCCGGGAGCGTGGGGCACGTGGGGGCGGCCGAGCGCCGGAGGGTCACCGGCTCGGCGGGGGGCGCCGCGCCCGCGCGGGCTTACAAG